CCCGCCGGTGCGCTCCGCTCGCAGGCGCCTGGCCCTCATGATGATGAAGAAGAAGAAGTTCAAGTTTAAGGTGGACTTCGAGCTCGAGGAGCTCTCCTCGGTGCCCTTCGTCAATGGAGTCCTCTTCTGCAAGATGCGGCTTCTGGACGGCGGCAGCTTCACGGCCGAGTCCTCCAGGTAACTCGCCCTGCGCGCCGCCCGGCCCCCGCAGCCCCGCCTGGCGGTGGGCAGCCTCGGCCGTTTGCTCCAGCGCGGCAGCCAGCCCTAGTGAGCTCGCTTTTCTCTAGGGACCGATCTGAAATCAGTTGGGAATTTATTGATCTGCAAAGTGCTTCGCAAATGGGTTCATTTCGGCTGGCCTTGGCTCTTGGCGCGCCTAACTCCAGATGGTTCCTCGTATCTGCTGTCTTCTCCTAAATTCTCTAGAGAATGGGAGCGAATGCCAGAGGGATAGGATGCTTCTGGGTTTCTCTTAAGACGTTTTCCTATTTGTGAAATAAGTGGAATTTGAGCTTTAAAACAAAAACAAGAATAACCGAAATTGCCTGAGTTCCAAGCGTGCCCATGCTGAACAGAGACCAGGGCTTAGCATAACTCCTCCCTTGTCGGTTACACTGGGACTTGGACGCCCATTCCCTTAGCCTGGGGTAGGCCTGGGCAGGCTTGACTTGAGTCAAGTGTTCCTGGAAGAGGAGACAGCAGCTCGTGCCTCATAGAGCTGCGTGTTGAGTTACTCGCTAATACTTAGTGAATTACCTGTGTTGAAGCCGCCACTAGTGGGTCTCTGCATGAAGGACTTAGAACCAGAAGTAGGGTCCAGGTCCTGCCCTGGTTTTGAAGTAATTCCCTGGGAACTCCTAGGACTGGGCATTAGCAGGTTACAGAATGAAGCCAGCGTGGCACTGCACCTTGAGTAATTTCAGAGCTATTTGCAGGTTGACAGATTACTCTAAGGTATTTCTTTTCAGGAAAATAGAAAAGAATTTTTTTTAAAGAACGACAAAAAAGAATTTTTGTAATGAACTTTTGAATGCCTGAGATTGAGGAGAAGGGTTAACAGTTGTGTTTGTTTTGCCATTATATGCTGTATTTTGCCCTAAAAATATTCTGCTTTCTTTTTATCTCTCATCCCATTAATAATGTAAAGGAAATAATGTCAGTGGGTTGCGGAATTGGGACCAGAATATTGTCCGTTGTGGTAAAGTTGGAGCCAGTGGAAGCCAGAAAATGTCTACTTGGCTAAACCAAAGAATATGTGAAGCACTCTTGATTTTCAAAATTAAATAGTAGTCTGCTGGGAATAACGTTCAAGAGTAAACTGTGATAACACATCTGTGGATATTTAGCTAATTAATCGTACTACATAATTTTTTTACACACTTGTAAGAGAACATTGTAACTTAGAATTACAATGCAAAATATATTGGACTAGCTTTTAAGAAGTTGAAAAGGCTAAGCCTACTTGTGAATGTCCTGTACTTGCATGTGACAGTCTTAACCCCAGGCCTATACTGGGTTAGTGGCAGGGACACACCCGAGGTGGGGCAGTTAGACTGGTGCTCCTGAGTCAGTGGTGACACCTGGTGGTCAGGGTGCTTGTCTGCTACCTGCTTTCTCCTTCCTGGGAATATTGATTGAGCTTCTCATAAATCAATTATTCCCTCTTTGCAGGCAGTTATTCATTCAGCAAACATGTATTGGGTGGGCCTTTTAGACGTATTGTCTTTTGAATTTTCACAGCAAGTCTATGAGGTAAGGGCCCCCCTTTTGTGGGCAAATACACTGAGGTTCAGAAAGCATAACTGATTTTCCCAGGGTCCCCACAGATTATAAGTGCAATGCCAAGATTCTGTCTGATACAGGTCTTTCTGACTTCAGACAGGTTGGTGCCAAATAAAGGAAAAAGTTGTGCTTTGCTGAAGAGAAGGAAAAAGTGTGCTATGCTGAAGAGTTTCTGAGCAGGAGCTTCCTAATGGTTTTAGCTAGCATGGGGTGCAATTTGATTTGTGCTCTGCAAGACTTGTAAGTAAAAAATCGAGTACCTTAGTTTAAACTTTCCTCTCTCTTTCATCTAAAATCTGACTTTAATCAAGGTAAATAAAGTAAAGGATAGTGCTCTGTATTGTCAAACCGAAAAAGCCACCTAATTTAAGAGAAATGACTCATAATAAACAGCCTGTGCCTTTAAAGTTAGGTAGAAATAGTTGGTGTAGAGCTAAAAGCAAAGATTTGGAATGAAGTGAGTATAAGCATAAATACCCAGTTCCATTACCATAAACCTGGATGGGTTACTTAGCCTTTCAAAGCATCTGTCTATAAAATAGGAACAGCTGGTGACAGATCAGGCTATTGTGATGTACCTAAAACATCAAACAGTATTTTGATGCCAAGAGGCAGGAAACTCATCCAAGAAGGCCCCTTTGCTTAGATATTGTACTTAATTCCTTTCTTCTGACACCCCAAAAGCGTTTGTTTGGGAAAGATACCTCATTTTACAAGGAAAGAAAAAGAATTAGAAATATCCAAAGAAGTTAATTACTTCAAAATTATATAACTTTTAATAGGTACCAATCTAAATTTTTTCTGGTCACTTTATATGAACCTTATAAATAAGATATAGTTAACACTGTAACATTTCTTAATATCAAATGAATTAAGAGTTAATGTACCGGGCCCCAAACGGCTGTTCTCAGAAAGTCCTGTTTACAAGGTTGGCCCTTCGCTGGTATATGGGAACTTGAATGATAAATGGTCCCATGTGTGATGTAAAACTTTACCTAAATGGTAAAAATAGCTCACTGTGCCTAGACTGTGCAAACTATGGTTTATGCTAAACATCTTCTGAAAGTCAGGAATTTCAGTCCATCGTGGGTGGAGGGTGCCTACATGACCAATCCTAGTAAAAGCCTTGGGCACTGAGTTTCTTTTTTTTTTTTTTTTTTTTGAGACAGAGCCTCAAGCTGAGCCCCTGGGTAGAGTGCCCTGGCTTCACTGCTCACAGCAACCTCCAACTCCTGGGCTCAAGCGAGTCTCCTGCCTCAGCCTCCCAAGTAGCTGGGATTACAGGCGCCCGCCACAACGCCTGGCTATTTTTTCGTTGCAGCCATCATTGTTGTTTGGCAGGCCCAGGCTGGATTTGAACCTGCCACCTTAGGTGTATGTGGCTGGCGCCTTAGCCGCTTGAGCCACAGGCGCCGAGCCGGGCACTGAGTTTCTAATGAGCTTCCCTGATAGACAGCACAAGCTGTCACAGTTTAATGCTGGAGAAATTGTGTGCTGATTTTGTTTTGTATCCTTTTGCTGTAATAACTCTTAGCCATTAGTATTATTATATGCTGAGTTCCATGAGTTCTCCTAATGAATTAAACATGGCCATGGTCTTGGAGACCCTCAGTGTATGAATCTATGTAAAATAATAGTTATTTTGTATTTTGTTAGAGAAAAACTGTGAAGATACATAGAAATTCATGTACGTGTTTATGGCCAAATATGTATATATGGCTTGGTACCAGAACTAAACAAGCAGATCATTCATTGTTCATCAGATATTAATTGGGCATTTACCAGATTTCTACCAATTTGTCTGGAGCTGTAAGAAGTACAAATATAAGGGTCCACAAGGGAATTCTACTTAATGAAATTAGATCATAGATACACAATTGCTTGACAGTAGGAGACAGTGCCCAATCAGTGGATTAGACAGTCTGTTGAGTATTGTTGACGTTCCAAAGGAAAAGAATTTATTTATGGCTGTAATGGTTGCTGAAAACCACATTAGCATTTTAGTCGAGTATACTGGGAGGATGAGTTTCTGTTGATAAGAAAGTGAAGGTGGGAAGAGAGCTTGAGCTAGTCATTAATAGGATACATCAGCCTGATTGCAAAGAATTCACATTGAACAGAAGCAGAAGGTAACACTAGAAAGAAGCTTTGAATGTTGTTATAAAGAATTTGCTTTCCACTACCCGTTAGTATAAAATTCAATCAAAGATTCTTGAGTTGAGTTGTAATAAGATTAAAGTGGTATTTCAGCAGGCTGGCAGGCTGCTGCTATTTGGATTCAAGTGGGGATAGATCAGAGATGGGGAGACAGATTAGGAGGCTGTTAGTGTAATCCAGGCAGGAGCAAATGAGAACCTGAATTGTGAAGTTTCTCAGGTGACTGATAAACGATAACGTTCTAGCAGATACTTTGATGCCATAACAGGAGTGAGAAAGTAAAGAGAATTCTTTGTTGTGTTTTGTTTGAGGGGACTCTTGGATATGTTGGTGGAGCATATGAAGAGTTGAGGGCTTAGCGTAAGGTGACAATGAGCCTGATAAGCAGTTGAAGACATTTCCGATGGCATGTGGATTTCTTAGATTCCCGTCTGTTGGAGCCAAACAAGCTTGCATATCGAACTTCTCATTTAAAAATTCTTTATACTGTTTTGCACTTTTAAAGATCATTAGTGAAAGTTAATTTTAGAAGGATTCGATCTTCCTTAAGAAGTTTTGTTCAGTAAATACCTTAGGAAAAAATACAAAGATTATAGAGTAAAGGGTCAGATATCACATACCATGTTTAGTAAAAAATTCAGAAAGTGCGTTGTGCAGTGTTAGTGGTCTACTCAACCGAAGCCAAGTTGTTATCTAATAAAATACAGTCATGCGTCACTTAAGGATGGGGATATGTTTTGAGAAATACTTCCCTGGATGAGTCTGTCACTGTAGGAACATCATAGAGGGATGGCACAGCCTGTATGCCTGAGCTATACAGTATGGCACAGCCCAGGGTTGGGGAACCTTTTCTTGTTGGAAAGGCTGTGTTAATTTAGCTGTACTCAAAAGAGGTTGTGTTTAAGAAACTTCCATTAGATATACTTAACAACGTACAGTATTTTGTAAAAATATAACTATTATGTACTTAATAATTTCAAAAAATGAAAACTATTAATTTTAAAGTTAACTAACCTTTTAATAACTTCACTGTGTCTGCTTTTTAAAATATTTGACTATTTGGTTGCATCATGGAGGTCTGCAGTGTCAGTTGATCCTCTAGATGGGTATCAATCGTTTGTGACCTTAAGAGTGTCTTGATTTGGGTCAGGTGTGAGAATGTACATTTGCAGCAGTAAGTGGTTGAAAAGCAAGAAAGTATTTTCAGGCATTTTGCCAAAGGTGGGGGTATTCTATTG